TGAGCGGTGCCCAAAACGAGTTGTAGAAGTTATCGCTTGAACTAACTACGGCCATTGATTGATTTGGATAGTACGGATAAGATTTCGCTGGGGTTAGAGGGATTTGAGAGTACTTTTAGCAAAAAAACAAAAACCCTTTTAGTACAATTTGAAGTGTTTATTCTTTAATAATGACAAAAACGGTCATCGTACTGAAATTTGTACTTGATCAAGGTTTGCCCATGGAAAGGAATCAAGATTTTAGATTCTAAGTTTAAATTTATTAATTTTAGTTTCAGTTTTTCATTTACGTAATCTATTATCCTGTAAAACTCGCTCTGCAGGTGAGAATAACAGATAATTTAGTGACTCACAATGCTGTCTGGTGAACTTGATGAGCAGTAACCAATGGTTATTGAAGAGTTTCCTTTTTTTTTTTTTCTTTTTTTTCTTTTTTTCTTTTCCCTCTTTTTGGGTTTTCGAGACCCGGTTTCTCTGTAGCTCTGTAGACCAGGCTGGCCTTGAATTCAGAGAGATCCGCCTGCTCCTGCCCTCCGAGTACTGGGATTAAAGGTGTGCACCACCACCTCCGCCTGGCTGCTAAGATTTAAGTATTGGAATCTAAAAGATTCTATTTATTTGTTTTGGTTTTCCGAGACAGGGTTTCTCTGTATTGTTTTTTTGTTTGTTTTTGTTTTTTTCAAGATAGGGTTTCTCTGGCTTTAGAGGCTGTCCTGGAACTAGCTCTTACAAGAGCTCTACAGACCTGGCTCGAACTCTCAGAGATCCACCTGTCTTTGCTTCTGGAGTGCTGGGATTAAAGGCATACGCCACCAACACCCCACAAGATTTTATTCTTAAACCACCCTACCCTTAGGACTCCGGTGACCCTCGTACTTTAGCTTTCGGGGGGTGTGTGTGTGTGTGTGTCTGTCTGTCTGTCTTTTGCTGTCATGCAGGCATTAGAGTGGCAAGGATCTAATGATAGACGTTTTCATTTGACCTAAATGTCTGTAGGTTCCACTTTTGGTTAGGAAAGTTACTACACTGAGCAAAAGTTTTTGTTCTGTTTATTGGGCAGTGGAGTTTACATGTTTACACGATCAACCAAGTAGCCCCAGACTGGCCTAGACTTCCTGCTGCATTGTGCCTATCAGGCCTCTTGGCTAGGGTTTAAAACGATTTTTCATGAAGCTAGTGAATCTAAAAGGCAGACAGGAACATTTTTCTAACCCACAGAGTTAACACTTGCTTGTTAACATTGCTTATAATTAGAAAAGATTGACATGATTACTTGAATTTTTTAAGTTGGATGTTTTACTTTATATGTATACCGGTAACAGCAATGATTTCATGTTTTCAGTAGCAGCATGAGGTGTGTGTATTGGAAACCTACTAGCAAGCAGAACCAGCACATACGTAGTCAAAACTGGATTAAATTTTAGAGGAATAAAAGAAAATATGTAAAATATATGATACAAACGCTGGGTGTTGGTGGCGCACGCCTTTAATCCCAGCACTCGGAAGACAGAGGCAGGCGGATCTCTGAGTTCAAGGCCAGCCTGGTCTCCAGAGCGAGTGCCAGGATAGGCTCCAAAGCTACACAGAGAAACCCTGTCTCAAAAACCATATATATGAATGATACAAAGATAACTTAAACTGTATTCACTTTTGTGTTCTTTTGTAGGCTTTAAAATCCAAGATGGGAAAATCGGAGAAAATTGCCCTTCCCCACAGCCAGCTTGTACATGGTATACACTTGTGTGAACAACCAAAGATAAACAGACAGAAAAGCAAATACAACTTGCCACTAACCAAGATCACCTCTGCAAAAAGGAGTGAAAATGACTCTGCTTCCCCCGATAGAATGCAGAAGAAGCAGGAAAAAAAGCCTTTTAAAAATACTGAGAACATTAAAAGCAACCATTTGAAGAAATCCACATTTCTGACAGAAGTGAGCCAAAAGGAAAATTATGCGGGAGCAAAGTTTAGCGACCCGCCTTCCCCTAGTGTTCTTCCAAAGCCTCCAAGTCACTGGATGGGAAGCACTGCTGAAAATCCCAGCCATAGCAGGGAGCTGATGGCAGTGCACTTGAAAACACTCCTCAAAGTTCAGACTTAGATTTTAGTTTTCAATGTGTATGTTAAATATAGATTTTCCCCAACTCCTTGGACTCTAAAAGGAAATGGATACAACAGTGGAAACATGCCATGTTGCAGCATATGACAGGAGATTAAGTCACATACAAGCAGCTTGTATTATATTTTATATTTTGTAAATACTGTATACCATGTATTATGTGTATATTGTTCATACATGAGAGGTACATTATAGTTTTGTTATGAAAGTATGTATTTTGCCCTGCAGATGTGGTGGGTGTTTTGTATATATATAGTGGAGCTATTTTAAGTGGGTGCTTAAGGCACATGGAAGACTGTTTGCACAGGTACTGAATTTTTTTTAAGGACAGCTGTCAAATCTCAAGTTCAAAATCTCAATGTGAAACAGTTTACTTATATACTACTGAAGGTTAAATTTGGCACAATCACTGTAAACATGGAACTTGTCTGTGTTTCTCTAAATTGATCTGCCTTTTAATCTGTAATAACTAGAAAATTTCCTATTTTTACCAAACTTGATTCTGGATATCCTTACATAGCCATTATTGAGATTTTAAAAAGCCTCATTTTAAATGCCAACAAAATTGGTTGTAATCAAATTTTAAATCAATAATAATTTGGCCTCCCCCTTTTATGCTAGTCTTGGCTTTTTGTGTATGACTGCTGACTGAATGTGTGACTTTATGATTGGACTTTCAGTTTTACTGTCTTTGTCATTTAAATTTAAATGTGACTATAAAGTTTACATACCTTTGAGAGCAAGAATTTCCCATCTTAGAACTAGATGGATGTGAACAAAAGCTGGTTATAAATACAGGAAAATAAGACAGGATCTCCTAGAGCTCAGTGGATTACTGGCATGCACCACCCCCCTGCGGTGCTAGGGATCAGATAGGGGGCTTTGTGAATCCTAAGCAAGCAAGCTCACTACCAATTGACTATCCCTAGCTCTAGGATGCATAGTTTTTCATCTTTATTTTGAGATAGTTTTTTGAGTTTTCCAGGCTGGCCTTGAGCTTGTCTGATGGTCCAAGCAGGGTTTAAACTTGTAATCTTTTTGCCTGGGCCTCCTGAGGAGCTGGGATTACAGGCAAGCTCCCACACTGGATTTAGAATTTATTTATATATGAACTGTTACTACTTGACTCTCAATTTTTAATTGTGTGCTTGTGAGTGCAATGCCCTTGGAGGCTAGAGGAATTGGATCTCTGGATCTCAGGTTGCCGATGGTTGTGGGCTATGAGTGCTGGGAAGTGAACTCAGAAGAGCAAGTGCATTTAACCACCGAGCTCAGCTCTCTCACATGCCCCTACAGTTTTCAGTGAGGAAGTACTACTTTCCTTTATTAAATTAAAGGGATTGGGGAAATGGCTCAGAGGGTAAAGGAGCTTGCCAGGAGAGCTTTAATTTGATCCCTGAAACTCACTTAAAGGTGAAAGGAGATATTACACTGTCCCAATCCCCCCAGGAGATACTCTGAATTCAAATCCACTCTAGGTTACATGAGAATGAATCAGTCTAAAAGAGAAACAGCAGCCCAGCACTTGGGATCACATGCCTTTAATCCCAGCACTGGGGGTTGGGAAGGGGGAGATAGGAGTGGTAAGGCAGGGTGGAGAGAGAAATTTAAGGAGACAGGAGCTTGTTGCAGTCTGGGCAGTCTGAGGAGCAGTACAGTTTGGAGATGCAATCAGATGACCATCACCCCTTCCGTCTGAGCATTGGTAGAGAGAGGTACTCACTTGTGGCAGCCCTCTGGTTTTCAGCATTAACCCTAATGTCTGTCTCTGGGTTTCTATTATTCATTCTACACTGGGCCCTCCCATGTCAATCAAGATCTGCTGGGGAACCCTTCAGTTGAGACTCCCTCATATGACCCCAGGCAGATGCTGTGGGTTACCTGCTCCAGCTCAGTCTCCCAAAACAGTCTCCCCCAAGTTTCCATCTCAGACTTCAGAGGCGCTTTGGAAGTCTACTTCATCATGTATCATTAATGTATCATCATTAATCAAAAAAAATTATTTTCGTTTGGTTTTAAGCAATGGTCCCACATTACTGTAGTCCAGTTCACTGTGATGCCTGCCTCATCCTGCATTACTACATTGAGCTCTAAAAGACAATCTTTTGTGCCTGCATGCCTGTGGAGTTGAAAAGTGAAGCCTGGGCTTTGGGCATGCTAGCAGGCCTGGTACCATTAAGTTATATACCAGCCTCTTGTGATATTTCCATTTGAGATAGGTCTTCCTATTAAGACCAGATCACCTTGAGTTTGTGGTCCTGTCTGTGCCTCAAGTGTTGGGATTACAACTGTGTCCTGCAGTAGGCTGGGTGTGTTAAAGGCATTGTTGGGGCTGGGAATAATAATAGTTCAGTGCTAGAGACAGGTTTTTCTGTGTAGCTTTGGAGCCTATCCTGGCACTCGTTCTGGAGACCAGGCTGGCCTCGAACTCAACAGAGATCCGCCTGCCTCTGCCTCCCAAGTGCTGGGATTAAAGGCGTGCACCACCAACGCCCATCGAGTTCTTGCCTATCATGTAAGATGCTCTAGGTTCAGTTTCCCATACTGAAAAACAAAAATTTAAGGACCACTAAATTATTTGCCAGACCCAGTGGTACATACCTATAATCCCAAGCCTTAAGCCCCTCTCCCATACACATACTGAATTTTCTACATTTTCTTTTAAGTTGGGTCTATCAGTTCATAAGTGCATCACTAATGAAAAGGTAGCTGTAAATATTACAGGCAGTCTTCCGGAGCTGCTTGTATGTACGTACACAGGTACTTCAATTATAGAGAATTCCCCAGATTAGAGTTGGTCTGCCTGACTCAAATGAGAGGTGTAGATGTGTTCTTGGCAGTCTCTTGTGTCGGAAGAAAAGATAGCAGGCCCAAAATATTTTCCTATCATCTTCAGAATTTGTTTTTCATTTTTAAAAATTCCTAGTTTTGTGTATGGGTTTGCCTATATCTATGTCTGTGCATCACCTGCATGCCTGCTGCCCACAGAAGCCAGAAAAGGGAGTCAGATGATCCTGAGACTACAGTTACTGATGTCTATGAGCTGCCAGGTGGGTGATGGAAATGGAATCTGCTCCTCAGAGAGAAGCAGCCTTAACCACTACACCATCTTCCCAGTCCCTGGGGGTTTTGTTGGTTGGTGTGTGTGTGTTGTTTGTTTTTTGTTTTTAATAGGTTCTCATTGTCCAAGTTGGCTTGGAAAGATGGGCCTCCTCCCTTCACTTCCTGGTTTCTGGATTACAGGCAGGCATCATGCCTGGATATTTTCAGTTTTATTTTTTATTTTACTAACAATTTCTTTCCCCTTGTATTTTGGTTTTCAGATTTTTTTTTTTGAGTAACAAAATTTTTTTACACTTTTTGTCTTATTTGTTTGTTTGTTTATTTATAAACAGAGACTCCTATAGCCAGGCTGGCCTCAAACTCATGCTTCTTCTGCCCCTGCCCTCCAAGTGCTAGGATTGCTGGCATGTGCCACAATGCTTGGTTATTTTTTCCTGAAAGTAAACATTTTGATGACTTTTGGTTATCTCCAACATAGCTCAGTTGTAGAGTACTTACGTAGCATTGAAATCAAATAAACAGCATCCCCTACACTCTGCCTCCCACCCCAAAACCTGTGTGGGGGAATGCAGATTGCCCAAGATATTTAAACAGTGGATTTTAGATGGTGGTGGTGGTTTTTGCTGTTGCTGTTTTGTTTTTTGTAATTTTTGAGATAGGGTCTTGTTATGCACCCCCAAGTGGGTATTACAGGCATAGACCACCACACCCAGGTGAGCCTGTATTTTGGTATTTACTTGAATTTTGGTATTTATTTGAAAACATGAAATCATAGAAGGCTTTGGTTTTGATCCTGTCAAGGCTGGTAGCTTATGCCTGTAATCCTATGCATTCTGGAGGTTGAGTCAGAAGATCAAGGCCTTCCTAGATGATATAACTGATTTAGAATTAGCAATACCCTCTCTTAAAACAACAAAACATTAAATAGAGTTGATAATATGGTCAACAGTGGGATTCTTGTCTAACATACAAGGCCCTAGGTTCATTCTTCAGTACTACCCAAAACAAATGTCCCCACCAAACCTCCAAGTTACTGTTGAGGGTCTTATTGTTACAAAACAAGGGCTCACACTGGTTCTGTAAGGGAGATTGGCACTCTTGGAATTGGTATAGGACATACCCAGATACCAAATTCTCAGCACAAAGGAGATTTATCCAAGATGGGGAAGTAGGGGATAGTGGTTGGGAGGAGGGGGTGGTCTGCAAAGACAAGCAGCAAGCATGTAAGCAGGTGTTTTTTGTTTTTTGGGGTTTTTTGTTTGTTTGCTGGAATGGGCTTTTTTTTTTAAGATTTTATTTATTTATTATGTATACAACATTCTGCTTCCATATATATCTGCACATCAGAAGAGGGCACAAGATCTCATAATGGATGGTTGTGAGCCACCATGTGCTTGCTGGGAATTGAACTCAGGACCTCTGGAAGAGCAGTTGGTGCTCTTAACCTCTGAGCCATCTCTTCAGCCCCTGGAATGGGTTTTTAAGGGGAAAGCAGGGAGTCTGTGCTGGGATGAGTTGGTAAATTCTGATTGGACATGTTAGACAAATAATGACTTTTGATTGCTGGACCTTGGTGGTTTATCTCAGGAACCAGTTGATGAACAAACAAGGAAATGGACTTTGGGAACTAGCTTTAGGAACGTAATCTAACAGTTTAGCAAGGGGGAAGAAGAGTAAAAGGCAAACCCTATAGGTGCCATGTTTGCCATGCTCAGGCCTGTTAGAGCCCTCAGGTTCCTTACAAAGATGAACAAAATTATTCTTCAACTATTGGCTGCTCTTAAATGGTAGAAGAGAACAGTCTCAAAGATGGAATTGCCTTTCTCCCTACCTTCCCTGGCTCTTAAAGCAAGTATGCATTCAGGCCAATACAATATCCTTAGCCCTGTATGTATTTGACTTTTGTTTTCAATTTTGATTCAAGTTTCATGTAGCCCAGGATAACCTAAAATGCTGGAGATATCTGAAGATGACCTCCAGTGCTTGGGTCACAGGCATGCCCCATTCTGGTGATTTGAGTAAGAATAGTCCCTACAGACTCATATATTTGAATGCTTGCTCATTAGGGAGAAGCACTACTTGAGAGGAGGTGTGGCCTTCTAGAGGGAAGTATTTCACAGGGCTTTGTGAATTCAAAAGCCCAAGCCAGTTCCAGTGTCTCTCTATTCCTGCTGCCTGTGGATCCAGATGTGGAACTCTCTGCTACTTCTCCAGTACCAAGTTTGCCCGAATGCCACCATATCCCTTCCCATGATTGTAATGCTTCCTGCCATGGTGACAATGGACTAAACCTCTGAAACTGTAGGTAAGCCCCAGTGAAATGAGTTGCCATGATCACGGTGTCTACTCATGGCAATAGAGCACTAAGACAGCCACCATGTCTGACCCTATGATATAATCTATAATGATAGGAGGCAACTTTCACCCAGGGCCACAGCCCACACTGAAGTCCATGGGCATTTTAAAATGTATTTATTTGTGAGCGTGCACACCCCAATGTGCTTATGAAGGTTAGAGGACAATTGTAGAATCAGTTCTTTTTTTATATGGGT